TATTTTCTAAACCTACTTAAACTGCTTAGTCATCACATTTTAWTTTTTTCTCTCTTGGAGCTATGTCGGTACGGAGCTATGTCTACTTCTTCAAAATAAACCAATCATGTGCAACCTATCAGGGGAATTTTTATATTTCAAAAAAGCTCTTAAAATTCGATTGTTTGCAATTAACCAATCACACATGCAACCTATCATCTCTAGAAATAAATGGTATATTCGACTTCAAAAGCATATTACCAATGTTTTGGGGCTCGATATTTAAGTTAATTTAATTTAAATTGGGTTCTTTTTGCGTCCCGGCGGAATCCCGGAGGAAAAATTCTTTTAATATACGGGGGGGGATAAAGATATTGGGGGGGAGGGAATGAATTTTTTTGGGACATGCAAGTGAGGAGAGGGCTCTTAAAATTTGTCATGCATCCAAGTGGGGGTTCTCAATTTGAATTTGAAAACGTTCATGGGTTGTTTGGGAGGCTTCGAAAATTAAGTAAAATCCTAAGGGGGTCCCGTAAAGGAAGAAGGTTTTGAGGCGAAATCTTCATTCCCCCTCTGCATATTAAATGAACTTTCCCTAAAAGGTAAGGTATTTGATCGGATAATACAAGCGTAAGCGTTTTGTTTTCGGCTTTTAGGCAGATAGACTATTATAGACCCAAGATGAACTCACAATTTTTCCCATTATTCGAAGCTACTTTTCCGGCCAGAATAATCTAAAGTGACTTTACAAACAAAGAAGACAACGTTTTCTTAGTCACTTCACTTGATGCAATTTTAATTTGCTCATTGTTGTGACATTTCTAGTCTGAAAAAGATTACAAAATAAACATGTTCCTTTATGCTATGCTATGTCTTATTTTTGCTCGAGCGTACGAGTCGTTGTTACAGTCCTCCTGATTGTTTCCTTTATTTTTGCTGCTGGCTTTTTGCGTTGTTTCGCAGCAGCAGGTTTTGGTCTTTTAGGCTTAGTAGTACTGACCAGCTTTCGTGTCTTGGCCGGTTTATGCGATGCAGTTCCTTTGGAGTTCTTAGGTTTCCCCATATCTGATCTGAAAGACTAAAATAAAAATAATCCACTAGTCAATCTTAATTGTTTTTATTCAACAGTGACCTGCAAATATTAATGGCAATGAATAACAACACCTTCGTTTGCATTGTCGGTTTCCAAGAAATCCACTCAGTTCATTGTACCGTGATAGAACTCAGTTGGTGGTTTTCTTTGAAAATGGAAGACGAGTTTAACCTATAACTTTTCTTCCGAATATATTAAGCTTTTGTCGAGTATTGTGTTACACCTTAGAATTTGCATAACATTTATTTATTTATCTAACTTTACCTCAAGTTCAGAATACGAAAAAAATGAAAAAATAAAAAGAATGCAATATGCATTTAGGGGAAGCAAGAACTAAAGAGATAACGGACAGAATTACATTATAGTTCTTGATGATCTTTGAACCTTCTTCTTTCTTCGGACATTTATTTTTGCGAGTGAATTAACGGTAAAAACGAGCAACAATTTAACGCGTGAGACTCTGCTAGCAGCGAACTGTCTTAAAATCAATATTCGATATAGATTGAGACCGAATTACGGAGAAACTTCGAATGTACTATGTGAGTAAAAAAGCTGTATTTTTTTGGTTTAACATTTTTCATAAAAACGATATGTATCGAGGCTAATGTCTCGAATATCCGACATCATGCTATAAACCTTTCCAGGCGTTACGTCTAAGATTGATCTAATGCTTTTTCTTGGAACAGCGTTGCTAAACCCTTGAAACAAACTTCAACAAAAAACGTGTAATAGTCAAATAGACCGAAAAATAAGGAAATAAGATTTATTAACCTCTATTAGTCTACTAACTATTTCACGTTTTAAGTACTACAGTAGTTCGCTTACCTGTAAAAGCTAAAAGAGTAACTCCAATTAAAGCTTCAATATCCAACGCTCTTACGACGCAAGACCCTTTTATGAAATATAACGACAGCTTACTTTCGTATTGTCCAATGACAATCAAGGATTGGACGTCACGTGATGTATGAGTCAGCGCAAAGCCAAATAAGGGACAGACAATCGACCTACGAGGCTAACATAAAAATACAAAAAAAAATGCTACAAAATCGTATACAAACATGGCGGCTATGCGTAACGTAACATGCACATTCTCTAAGGCTGATATTTTCGATATTACCGTGTTAGCACCACGCGACAATGTTTTTGCGATTAGGTGTATAGCTTAATTAAAATTTAGATATATATTTTTTAATACAATTTATTACAATATTAGCATTACTAAGTAGTCTTCTTATATAGAGGGCAGTATAGACTGGCTACTTGCTCCAAGTCTCGCTCGCTATTATTTTCCGTTGCAAACTCGGATTCAAGTAGTGCACTTCCGGTTACGACGGCTTTCCGAGGGGAATGGCGCGAAGGGAAACGTTTCCTTCACGTCCACATGACATCTACGGATGTCGGGGTTTCCCCTAGTGATCGAACCTTCTAGAAACGAAAGGACGCTTATTATAAGGTCAATTTATCTGACAAAATCATCCAATCACATCAAAGGAGGCCAAGGTTTTTACGGGGGTTCACCAATTTTGCATTTTTCATAGACAACGCAACTTCTGTTTGCAAAGCCCACTCTGCAAAAAAGTTAAATTAGTTTTCGCAGTAAAGCACATCGACCAATAACATCATTCAATCCCATCACATAAGCGAAAATACCACGATTACGGTAGTTCTAGAAACTATATATCTATTTTAACACTGTTTTAATTATTCTAGTTTGCTTAGATACTTGATCATGTTGATACTTGGTCTGAGATTCGATGTTCAAAAGTAAACACAAACTCGTAACAAGCAATACAATATTTAATTTCTTACTCAAACTTAAACTTTAGGAATTTAGTTTCTACTCTGTGTACAAGGTATATATTTATGAGCATACATTTTTATTAAATTTCCTTGAAAATAAGGTCTCTTACAATGGGTATTTGTGTTGATGGAAGAGTTGGATCAGAGACGAATCGATGGACTCCGTACGGCCAACTGTCGTTTCTTCGTCCCAACTTGTTTAGGCAAATACCGACTTCTTGTGGCTTAATTCTTCCTAATTTTCACGGTTGTAGTTGTGATGGTGCGTTTTACTACCTCAGTTGTTTGTGCGTTTGATTTTTTTGTTTTCAGAGGTTTGGCGGCGTGTTTCGGTTTGGCTGAAGCGGATGCTCTACTAGTTTTCGCGCCCTTTCGTTGAGCTGGTTTGGACTTGTTCTTCGGTTTAGCCATTTCTGAAAGACAATGCGTCCGTCTTAGAAAAACACTTGACCAAAGCTTATTAACAATCTATCATGATATAACATTATAGATTGCAAAGACCAAGCTATCGCTGGTATCATATGACTTAGAAGAGAATTTATGACCAAGTATATAGTTATCAAGACATACGAAAAATCTAGGGGTTTTCATTCTAAAATTCCACTTGCAACACATTGTCTTTATATATCTTGATATACTGTATACACTTTCGCCTTAATACAATCGAAAAAAATGTTATTAACAAGTTATATATTCTGTGCTTATGGAATTTTATTTCTGGTGCAAATTGGATGATAATTAATTTTCCGCTTTTCTTAGCAGAAAAATATAAAACGAAATGAAAGAGTTTTAGCTTTTAGTGGTTTCTCGTTTGATCGAATAAGGATCACTTACCTCCTGGAAACCCAGTTTTTTTGCAGCAAATTATGAACGTTAGCTTTGAAGCCTTCTTCTTGTACAGTCTTTGAATCGAATACGTTGAGTGGCGCGCTTTTTTCCCCAGTCGAATATTGAGTTACTTGACCTACTCCTACGCAGACGTTCTTATTGTCTGTCACGCAACGTTTCCTTCCACGTGCAGACTCTTCCACAGTCTCTTTCTCGGCCGCGCGAGGGACTGTTGAAGAGTCTACTCCCCGCGTTGGGAGGAAAAAGGTTGCGTGACAGACACTTAGAATGTTTGCGTAACGCAGGGGTTCGCAGAACGTAACGAAAGTTTGGGTTTCCTGTGGTACTGGCCGTTCGATATTTTAAGAAAAAATAAATGTAACGATTTTAAAATCGAATTGTATACTTAACTAAAGCATTTATTCATTTGAAATCCAGTTCATAACATTCAAATACTTATCTTATTACTTATTACTTACTAAACTGTTTTCGGCTTTAAAAAGTGATAAAGCCGCTTGTTTAGGAAATTCCGCTTGCCCTGATTTCATTAGAAAATCTACCATTTTGTGACTTGATTCTACTGTGTTTATAACTCTCAGAGTGTTGGGCAAAATGAACTGAACCCACCGCTTCACAGCGATTTTTTTTTTCTTTTACAGTCGAAAGAGACAGTTTGTTTTTGTTAAAACATTTTTATTTTTTCATTTTCATTTCTCTTAAAATGAATTGTTACATCACGTTTAGATCTTAGTCTTTGGGAGAAAAGTGATGTTAGAAGCTTCTGCAAGGTATAAGCCTGCCTGCTTGCTTTTCATAAGCGGCGATGGCTTCTTCTCTGTCCCCTGGAGGAGTTGGCGTTTTTTGGCGTGCTGCCAGGGCTTTCACATCCACATTTAACACCGTAGGGGTTCCTTATTTCTCGATATTTCTTTCGAGGAGATTTTACGCTCTTCTTAAGAGTCGTTTTTATAGGCGTTGTTTGTTGTCTTCTCTTGGCAAGGCATTTCTGTTTTTGTGGTGCCATTCTGAAGAAGAAGAGAATATTAACGAAATAAAAATATTAAATAAAACCTGCAGCATTGATATAAAGGTTTTCCATCTCTTGAATCTGAATCACATTGAATCTCTTGTGGATATTGAAAGCGGTCGAAAAGATCATTTTAGGCCCTGCTCTTGTCCACCAGCTCATGAAAATGCCGGATACTTTTTGCAAGTAAAATATGCAAGTAAGCATTTTTCTTGTGAATCCGGCTACAAACTTACTTTTTACAAGCTTATATTGCTTTAAAAGCAATGTTTCGGCTCATTAAGTGATAGGCCGAATAGATTTAGGCCCTGCTCCCGTCCACCAGCACATGAAAATGATGCGTTTTCTAAATGCTACGTTTTCGTCTCACCGAAAACGCATAGAAATCTCCGCGTCTATACTTGAATTTTCATAGCGGGTTTTTCATAGCGTCCCAACTAAAGCGGTGCAAAACGCCGATACGATAGCAAATGAAGTTTAGCGTGTCTTAGAGTGATGTTTGGCGTTTTCTTACAAAGAAACCAATCGACATTTTCGTATAGTATTAGTGTGGACGGTTCTATACTGCCTCATTAGAGTTGATCTTGTCTTATAATTTGAAGAATTATTTCTCATTTAACAAAAATATATTA